CGAGCCCCTTGCTCCCAGGAGAGTCAGCTCTGAAATTGGACAAGGTTGCTCGAGGCTTTGTCCTGTCGGATCTGGAAACCTCCAGGGATGGAAACTGCACAACTTCTCTGGACAACCTGTTCTGCTTAATTGCCCTCATAGTGATGGTTTTTAATTTCCTGTCCACTGGAAACCTCCGCTGCTTCAGTTTGTGTCATCTTCTCTTGTTGTCCTGCATACACCTCAGTCAAGAGCCTGGCTCTGTTTCTCTGCTCCCTCTGAAACTGCGTCTTCTGTAGGCTGAACCAGCCCAATTCCCTCAGCCTTTCCTCATAGGGCAGGTGCTTCAGGCTCCAACCATTACAGTGGCCCACCACTGAACTCATTCCGATTTATCAAGGTTGGTGCTGTACTGAGGGTCCCAGAACTAAGCGCAGTATCCTAGACACAATTGAACATGTGCCAGGTAGAGGGAAGTAATCACTTTCCTCAGTCTGGCTACGCTCCTGTCAGTACAGCCCAGGATGCTGTTGACCTTCACTGCTGCCTGGATACACCGTTTAGCCTACTGCCCTTCAGGACCCTTGTGTCCTTTTCAGCAGAGCTGCTCCCTGGTCTGTACCATCACAGGGGGTTAGTCCATCCCAGGTGCAGAACTTTGCATTTGTCCTTGCTGAATTTCTTGGGGCTTCTGTTGGTCCATTCCTGCCGCCTATCTAGGTCCCTTTGAATAACAGCCCTGCGTTCAAGCATGACAACTCATTTTGATGTCATCCGCAAGCTTAACCCAGAAACTTTGTCTTCCTCTAGGTCATTGATAAAGCTATTGAGCAGGACTTGTCCCAGGGTAGGTTCGCTGAGGAATTCCACCTATAACCAGTGTCTAGGTAGGGTAAAAACCATTAACCAATACCCTTTTAGTCTGATGATCCATCCGGTTTTTCCACCCATCCAGTAGTCCCCTTGTCTAAATTGTAACATCTCAGCTTGGATACAAAGATGCTGTTCTCCCCTCCTCCACAAGTCGAGACATTTCATCACAGAAGGCAATCGCACTGGTCAGGCATGATTTATCCTTGGTGAATCCATGCTGGCTTTTCCCAGTCACTTTCTTCTTGTGCCTAGAAGTGGCTTCCAAGAGGATTTGCTCCGTGATTTACCCAGGCAAAAAGTGAGACTGACCAATATGTAGCTCCCCAGATCATTGTCTTTTTTTGAAGATGGGTGCAGTATTTGCTTTTATTCAGTTGTTGGACACTTCCCCTGATCTCCACAACTTTTGAAATATGAGAGAATGGCCTCGCAGTGTTATCAGTCTCTCAGCATCTTCCTACAGATGCCATCTGGTTCCCCTGGGACTTCTATAAACTGAGATTTCTTAAGAGATCCCTGGCTTAATCCTCTTCCACTACTGGTAGTTTCTCTCCTCCTTGTAGGTATAAAGGACCACAAGACCTTACTGGTAAAGTTAGAACCTTATCTGCATCCACTGTCAGTAAATCACCTGACCTATTCAGCAGCTGGCACTCATTTTCATTCTTTATTCTTTTCTTGTTCATGTGGTGATAGCAGCTCTTCTTGTTGCCCATAACATCCCTTGCCAGTTTCAACACCAGGTGAGCTTGGGCTTTCCTGACACCATCCCTGCATGTCCAGACAGTTCCTCCTTAGCTGCTTGTTGCTGCTTCCACTTCCTCTATACTGTTTTTCTGCATTGTCATTCAATCATGACTTCCCTGCTTAGCTAGGGGCCATCTCCTGATATGTCTGCCTGTTTTCCTGAGTTTTGTGCTTGGAGGAGGTTGTCCTGAAAGACCTACTAGCTTTTCTGAGCTCCATTTCCCTTCAAAGCTGCCTCCCAGGGGATCCCGCTAACCAGTTCCCTGAACAAGCTGAAGCCTGGTCCCTGGCTCTGTACTCTGCTGCTCTTTCCTCACCGCCTTCAGGATCCTGAACCCAGTTACTTCATAATTACTGCAGCGAAGGCTGCCATTGATTATCACATCTCCAATCAGTTCTTCCTTGTTTGTGAGTAGCAAATCCAGAAGAGCATCATGCTTCACCAACCCCATAGGGTTAACAAAGCCTGGGGTCCCATCTCCTTCACTTTGCCCCCAGAGCTCTGTAGTCCTCATCTGCAATGTCTTGGGTGTCCGTGTAGATGTGCAACAATGGGTAGTGGTCCGAGGAATGGAAAATCATTGGCAGTCTCTCTGCAATGTAATGGATTGGGGCCTCTGAAAAGAAAAAAAAAAAGAAATCTGTTGTAATAGCATGACGATTTAGCAGTTGTGTGTCTTCATCTTCACAGGAGGGAATCTCCAACCACGGTCACCCACCACTTCCTCTTGCTTTCTGCTAATACTCTGTTCAAGCTCAGTTGATTTCAAAGCCTTCCTTAATGGAGCTTGTTCTCCCTCATTGGTTATTAGGACACTTTATCAATTCTGTAAACTCAGATCTGAGGGCAGAGAAGGAGTGTTTCTGCTGCTGCAAGAAGTCACAAATTTCTGGCCTCCCCCATCCCAGGAGTCTCCATCAACCTCTTGCTCAAGCATAGCCTCTGACTTTCCCTCCTGCCTTGCATCATGAGGATCAGGATCTTGCCTCTGCAAGGTCTCTGTGAAGACCCTCTCATTTCCTGGTCATCCTCCCTGATTTTTTGCAGTCTGCTCACCTGGGATGGTTTGTCCACCTAGCATTGCTATGCAGTGCACAAATTAAAAAACCTCATGGAAATAAAATTTTGGAACAGTTCATCTCCTCATTCCTTAGCCCTAATAAAGGCTCACTGCATGCACCAATATTTAAGTTTGTTACCCTCTGATATAATAAAAATTGATGCAAGACATTGAGGGGTGGTGGAGTTAAGAAAGAAAAATGAGGTTCCAGAAGTTTTTTCCCCCCTAGGAAAAACATATGTATGTTGTTCCAGCGTTGACTATTGCTGTTCACTGCTCACAAGTCTTGTGTCCTTTTGTATAGCTGCATCTGTTCAGTCACTCTGATGGCTCAAACCCTTTATTTTTACTTTTTTGGCCAGCTGCACTACGTTGAGTGCTGCGTGAGCTAAAAATGCCGCCCTTCCCTCTGAGGATCGGAATCTAAAATAATCAGGAGGAAATCAAGACAGAAAGTAGCACTGTGAATATGGTTGCTGCAGCTGGAATCATATGGAAATAAATCTGAAAATGAGATGCAAAATAGAAAATGGGTCTAAATACCTTTCATGCCAGTAACCAAACAGCATTGGGGGGGTGAACTTAAAAAGCAAAATGGAAGTTAATTCAGGAGATCTCTAGGCTTACCTGTGCATGTGAAGATTTTGGGAGACTATAGAATAGAACAGAGAATGGAACTGAAGAATTTAAAAAAGAAAGGTCTTCTCGAGCAGTATTGTCTTTTCTTTTGCTTTTCTTGTTTTTGTATGAACCTGAAAATGTTACAGGGTAGACAAATAGATGATCATGGACATGAGTGACTCTTCAAGTATAAGGGAAGTTTAGACTGTAAATGCATTTTAAGGATGGATTTAACTGTAAAAGAAAAAGCTTGGGAAGGCCCTACAGTGCTGCAACCCCATTAGTCACAGTGGAAGAGGTAAAAGGGCTTGTTAAAAAAATAAATGCACATGGAAAAGGGGTGACAGAAGGTTGAAAGCAGCAGCTGCACCCTGGAGGGAACAAGTAAGCTGGAGAAATAGGTTGCAAAAGGGAGAAGGCAATTTTTGTTGTGACTGCCCCCCATCTAAATTCCCCCTTTTCTTATCTGTATTAGCTCAATGTCGCATTGACCCTCCCTCTAGCAAGCGGAGTGAGGGGAGGAGGCTTCCACACTTGTCAGCATTGGTTCTTCAGTCAGATGAGGAGGATGCACTGATATGACACTAGTTATTTTACTAGTATGTGGGTCAAAATAAAATCTGGCAGCAAAGCTTTTCAGAGACTGGGTGAGTCCTCCTCTCTTCTGTGATCTTGTTCTACAGAATCTGTGAGGTGGTTTGTTTTCCTTACACTACTATGCAGTGCACTGCGGAAAAAAAAAATCCTAATTCTAGTGGAAATCAAAGCCTGGAAGCTTCACCTCCTCACTCCTTAGCCTGAGTGAAGGCTTATTGTGTGCACCTGTGCTGGAATTCCGTTACCCTCTGATCTAATAAAAAAGTGAGTTAACTTTTTCTACTTTAAAATGCTTGCAATCACTTTTCCCTCGGCATATCTAAAACAGACCTCCATGGTACTGGAGTCTCATGCCTAAGTGGGTTTTACTGAAGTTCTGTGCCAGTACATGACAGTTCCTGTGTCTTCTTCCTCCTGCAAGAAAAAAAATAATGTTCAAACATGAAAGTTAATCAAGTCTTTTATTCCATGTGGCTGTTCTTGCAAGCTAATTAAACTAATACCGATGACTGAAAAAGATTTTAATTGACTTAGGATTGCAGTTCAGAAAAAAATTATTTCTATGTGGAAAGACTTTTTGGGGTTAAGCCAGCATCCTAGCATGCAAGAGTTGAATTCAGCTGTTACTGTGTTATGGATTTGCTTCATAACTCTGAGAAATGCCTTCACCTTTCTGCAAAATGTCAGGTTTTATGGTCCATTCTCACACTTTGACTTGTGCATGAAAGTGAAATAGGTTCTTGCACTCAGAGGGTTCCTGTAGGTGTAGGAATCCATCCTTGAGGCTGAGATGCTGGGCTTTGTAAGCTGACCTATGGGGCTTGTTCCCAAGGACGTGATCCTACCTGAGGTCTTCCTGCCACTCCTTTGTGCCAGCACTGGCGTCTGTGTAGCCACATGTCCATGTGATGAGGAGAAAGACAGATAGTCTTTAGGTAGGTAGAATTTAGGTAGGTAGGTAGATGGATTTATAGACCATTTTACAGGCACATTGTTTCCTTATCCAAGCTCACTGGAAAGCTTTATGCTAATAGAGGGGAAGAGGAGGTGAGGAGACAGAGCCTGGCTGCTGTTGGACCCATTTGGAGAGCAGGTGAGATCACACCTTTGGCAGCATCTGCCATGGAGATTGACTTAGAGCAATTACAGGACTGCAAACCTGAGGTACTGCTTGCTAGGGAGATATCTGGGCTTGTAGGGAGTTTGGGGTAGAGACCATCTCTCACCTGGGGAATGACGTTATTCTCACACATGAGGGCTTTCTTTCAGCACTTGATCGTCTACAGTCGGGGTTATTCGGTTTGGTTTTTCCTTCCACAAGATACAGGGATTTCCTGCATGATGTTTTCTTTCATGAGCTGCTTACATGTGTTTGTCACCTAACTTACTCCAGCTTGGATGGAGAATTGTAGGGAACATGTTGATTTTAAAGTTCACACAGATACGTTTATGTTCTCCCTGACATGAACTTTCTGCTGCTTTATCTTATTTTTATATTTATGTAATATGCAAGTCTCAACTTCCTTTAGTGTAAAGCAGGAAACAAGAAAGAGAAGGATGAAGCTCTGCATTTTCTGACACACACACGCACAAAAAAAAAGAGTCTGTGTGTTTGAAGTGCCTCCTTTCTCCAGAATATTTGCTGCCTTTAAAAGTGGCTGCTGAGTGTGTTTGTAGCCTTCATGGTAGATGCAGTCAGGTGATGGCAAAGCATGGCCTCATTGAGAAGAGCTGGCAATGCAGAATAAGCCCAGGGCATTATGTCCCAAAAAAGAGAAATTCTGTTGCAAAGTAACTTGCTGCTTTTAGGCCAAGTCTGTCTTCCTGCTAAGGTCAGTGATTTAGCTGCAGTAGATGTAACTCTATCACAGACGTGACCACTTGCCATGGAGAAGAAAGTAGTTTCATGATTCATGTGCTACTTCCAATGATATGTTGCTCTGAAATTGTGTCAGGAATAAAATGTTACCCAGAGTATTGTCTAAAGTTGAGATCTCTGTGAATCTTTCCAGAGATTCTTTATTTTTCTTAACACTTTGCAGTATAGGTGAATGATTTTGTAATAACTTTCTCTTATATCTGATTTTCAGGAGGCTAAATCAATCAAGAAATTGCCTACCTTGATTCACTCTGGATTAGCGGCTGTTTATGGCACAGTTGTTTTGAATCAGATAGTTCTCTTTTTGGGAACAGATGATGGACAGTTACTGAAGGTAAGCTGAGCGTGGCAGTTCTTCCCTTCTCCGTCAGCTGCTGCCATATTCAAGTGGGTCAATGTTTCCTTGTTTAGGCACTGTATTATAAACAGATCCTTTGAATAATCCCCTGAATCTCTGTTTTTTGTTTGTTTGTGAAGTAACTGCTGTATTGTTATTGGAGAGCAAGATAACTTTCAAAAGCAATTACGTACCCTGCTTAAAATTCATGGAAACATTTCATTAAACTGCTAATGCCTATAGTATCAATTTATGGAATGTGGAGTTCTTGTCTTTCATTTCCTTCCTTGCTTTGATTTTTCCAGTAGAAATGTTAAATATTGTTAGATTTTGGGAACATGGAAGGGGAGCATATATACTTGTTTGTTAGCCCATCTGTGTGATATGAATAGCTGTCCATTAGAGAGAAAGTTCAAGATTCATTTTGCCTTAGCATCTGAATAGTTGACCTACACTAGCTTAAATCAGTCGCCTGGAAGTGAAAGACATCTTATCTCATTATCAAACTTTTCAACCATCCAGTCAAATGTCTTCTATGCTTTAATTTTTTTCTGGGTTTTGTAAGAATATGCATTTCCTGTCTACACTGCAAAGGATGACTCTCATTTTTTGTTTTTATTAAGCAGGCAGTTGGAGAGGAATATATTAGAGAGCTTGAAAAGCTTTTGCCCATTTGATTTCATCACTGTGCTTTTGATAATGAAAAATGAAATTGAAGTCTTCCATGTCTCCTTAGCACGGAGATCATGAACATATCTCCCTTGTTTAGTCATGTTTATGGAAAATCTTCTATCAGTGTTGGTGTGCTTATTAACTTGCAAAATAAAGTTTCTGTGGTCTCTGGTTCTCTAGAATTCTATGAGAAGGGTGGTGGAAAACTGTAGGGTTGGGCAAGGTAAGAAAAAGAAATACCACCTCAGATGTATACTCACAGAAGCCACATGTCCTGAAGACAGTTGTCAGTAACTTGCGAAGGTTTGCTTTTACATTATGGGTGTCTGGATGTTAATTTGTTTTCTGAAGGCTAATACTTTATTCTCGATTCATAGGAGTACTTAACACATGATGACTTTGGGATATTGGCGTCTCTTCCACATTCGGTTTCTGTGTCAATCAGAAACATACTTGGTGGGAGGGATGTTTCATACACTAAACCTGTGCCAGATTCAGTGCAAAATGTGTCTGGCGTGGATTTTATTGAAATTCTGTTCTGGTGGTCTTTTCCTCCATCTTTCTGCAGTGTGAGAGCCAGTGCAGTAGGTGAATTGAATCAGGGTGCAGTAAATCATCTCAGAAGTTCTGATGTAGCTGAAATTAGGCTTTTGTTTAAACTGCTGACTGATCAATACAAGGACTTGTGAATAATTTCATTTCCTGTATTGTAGGCTATTCTTAATGAGGATATGGAATCTAATTGCCCAGAGGTTTTATACGAAATTAAGGAAGAAACCTCTATTTTCCCCAAACTTCGACTTGATCCAGTAGATAACAACTACATCTATCTGTCCTCTGCCAATAAGGTAAGCACAATATTAAATAAAATGATAATTTCAAGTAAACTACTGCTTTAAGGATTTCTGCCACTTTGCAAGTGAAGCATCCGTTTGGGTCAGAGTTAGACCTTAAATGTCCAAACTGCAGTTACCAACTTTGCATCTAATATCTGGTTATGTTGTCTAAAGTTTGGGCTTCACTTCTGCAGAGCTTAGAAGAGCCTCCACTCTCATGGTGCTGCCCACTGTTGTTGCTACACCCTTAAGCCCATGCTTATTTTATGTCATTCTGTCGAGAGAGTCTTTGTTTCTCTTTTTCCTCGAGGTATCATGCAGAATCAGGCTTGGAGGTAGAAAAAAAACTTGTAGACTCTTTGGAGATTGAGTTCCCCTGAATTGGCAATCCAAGTATTGGTAGGCCAGGGTTTGCTAGTCAATTATGGAGTTCCTAATGTGGAGAAATCTCTTAATTTGAGAGATGGGTTTGAAGTCTTAATTCTGCTGAAATCAGTAATAAAATTATCATCACCTTCAGTTAGGTATAAACTTTAAAAAACAAAACAAAACCACAATCAGAAGTGATTGATGCGTATGCATAGTGAGGCCAAGGAGTTCAGCAGTCACTGGGAGCTACTACATGGGAGCAAACGTGTCAGAGCTGGGTCCCAAGCAGAGAGCGGCTCCCAGGAGCCAGTGCAGTTGTTGCAGCACATCCTGCAGCAGGGCTGCTGAGCATCAACTCAGCAAATTCCTTTGTCTCACCCGCAGCGGGAAGATGGCAGTGAAAGCATAAGGGCTGGCTGTCCATCTTAGCTGGACAGGATTTCACCCAGCACTCGATTACCTTCATACAATAAAATCACTTTCCCAGGAGTGAACATAACATTTTAGCCTGCCGTCTGAGAGAGTGGGTAAGTTGGTAGAACTCCTGGCTGATATAAACCATCTATCACAAACACAGAAGGGATCAAAATTTCAGTCAAAGGTGTGTGTAGGTATTCAAAGTAAAGACTTGGATTTTCTTTAGCTTTGGTAAAAGAGCAAGTTGTTACAGAGGAAGAACAGCTTTTAGGAATAAATGTCTCTCTCTGATCATCTCTTGGAGCTTAAATAAGCCTTCTACGCTGTCTTTTTTTAAATTGTTAGTTGTCTGTGATGTTGGCTGGTTTCTGAACTGATTATCTCACACACCTTCAGATAAATTGAATTTTACAAGATATGGCAGTTCTGCAGAAAGCCATGTATCTCTGTTTCTGTTCGCAAAATAGAGGAACTTTTAATTCTTGCAAATTTGTAAAAAAATTGTTTGAATTAAGAATATTTTTCTTACTAATATTATTAATTAACATTGTTATTAATAACATTATTTGTATTTGTATTCAGTATTTGTAATCAGCTTTCTCTTTTTCTTTTTCCTTTCCTTTTCTGAAAATGGCTGGCTAGGATATTCGAGCTGAATGTACAAGTATAGCTACATACAATATAGCCACAATTATCTACATTTACTTATTGAAATGGCATTTTCATGCATGTTAAGTAGTTGCATGCGTTTGTTCTAGTGTACACATGCAGTTACCTGACGTGGTGATGCAAACACAGATGCATGTTGTTTTGAGCATGCATTTTTGGATGCACCTTCATCAATCATTTAAAAAATCTCAGTTATGATGAGAGGAAAACGATGTTCTGTTAAGCAGAACATTATTTGTAAAAATTATCTCCTTTTTATTGTTATCTATAATTCACTATGCTAATTAGTCTTTCCTGCATTACTCTGTCCATGCTGGCCTTGTCATTGTCAGAGGAGTTTCATCATCTGATGGCAAAATAGAGCTGCATATTTCTATCCAAAGGTCTTCTGGCAGAGTAGAGTTCATAAGGAAGCTTTCCCGAAGGGATTGTGCTTGGTTGCTGTCAGATTTTTAATGGTAACCCTCAATTTCCCTATTTATGGAGGCTATTTTAATTCAGTGTGTTATTGCATTCTTTGATTTTAGGTGAGAAGAATACCAGTTGCAAATTGTGGTAAATATGTTTCTGAGCAAGAATGCTTATCTGCAAAGGATCCCTACTGTGGGTGGTGTTCTTGGAATCAAAGGTATTTTTTGTATTTTAGACTTTCCTATAAAAGCTACGCATTATTAGTCAGTGTACATTTTGACTGGCTTGGGGCTATCCAGTATCAAGATTATATCTACTGAATTTTTATGGAATCAGTCATAGCCATAAATGTGAGGCACTTTATGGTCACGTGACAGGGAGCTCTGCACCTTTTAAAGTCCACGTTAACCTTCAGATTTTTGAGATCTACCCATAAAACACATGTTGGGCTAAAAAGAAGAAATTACTTTGGTTTTAGAAGAGATGTTTTTGCTTTACAAATTGATTGAGGGATAAAATTGTATACTCGTGCTTGAAGCATCTTAATAGCTAGGAGCATCTTGCATGTGAGAACAGGGAGAGAGTGCTCAGTTGTCTTCAGTATTCATAGTTCCTCGCTTTGGAACCACTGCCTTTGGTTTAGACTGGAGGAGAATCTCCTTCTAAACACTTCATCCTTGCATTTGATTCATTAGTTTTGCTGCTTTCTTGAAGCAGGTTTGAAAACTACTGTACATCTTTGGCCTGGACTGGAGAAATTCCTGGGTCATCAGGCCTAGTCTTGGCAATTGCAAGCAACCACATCATGTAAACCTACTCATAGGATCAAGGATGATCTTAAATTTACACAGGCTTTTTGTCCTCCCTGCCCTGGCTGTGTGGCTATCTGAGAGTCTCATTGTTCTGCTGGATAAAATCTGTCTGCTCATTTTCATCACGTGTGTGTTCATGGACAGGTTATACTCATTTGTTCTGCTGCTCACATCGCCTTGGTTTAAACAGGTTTTCCCCCTCCCTCACGCTTATCTCCTCAATGTTTTTGTGAAAGCAATCTCTTTTTCTCACCTTCATTTTGCTGTGCTAAAACAGCTAACTTCACTAAGATCCTCTCGCATAAGACACTCCTTTCTTAACTCCACTCCAGTAGCCCTTCTGTGAAGTTTATGCATCCTTTTAAAAAAAGGATGGCCAGGACTGTCACAGTATTCCAGAAGAGATTTCAGCTGTGCCTTGCTCAACGGCATTTAATCAGTCTGTCCAGGAAGCACCTTACTTAGTGTGTTCTGGGATCACAAACATCTTTTTCATGATTGCATCACATTGATGGGCCACAATCATCCATGATCAAATAATGCCCCCAGGCCCTTCTCTTTCTTTGTTTTCTTTCTAACTGATGAGTTTCCAGTCTGTAGCACATATGGGTTGTGAGATTTTTATTGCTCTAAGTACATGTTCTTGTACTTTATGCTTTGAAATGTCATCCCATTTCAAGGTTATCCAAGTTTTCCTATGTGATATTCTCATCCTCCTCTGCATGGTAACGTCCCCAACTTTGTATCATCAGCAGATGTCAACAGTGCAAACTTTCATTTATGCCAGTTCATCAGTGATTAAAACATTAAACAGAAGTGGTTATAAGATTGATTTTTGAGGAATTTCAGTAGTAGCCTTCTTTTAGAAGGTTAATACCACCCATTTTTGTTTGTTCCAATGTTAATGTGATTTTACTGAAGACTGCTAATTTGTGTTTGCAGAGGTCATTATTAGAGGAGAGTAGGTGTTTATTCTGTAATCTGTTTTCTTCAAACTCTCTTTTGCTACCTTGATAGAAACTGTATATGTTACGGTGCTAAGCTTTTCAGGCTTTTAGTTACCTTATAAAGAGTTTGTGAGTAACAGTTATTAGTCAGTAAATCCCCTGTTTATAAGGGGAATCACCAAAAGTTTCTATTTGATTGAAACAGAAATAATTTAGTCGTTTGGAGAAAAAATGAATTACTCTAATATGAATCCCATTCAACACCCACATAATTTTTCACTGTTAAGCACTTAGTTTTGTGAAGAGAGAGCTCTGAGTGAAACTTTAGAAAAAGAGGAAGACGTGTTTTTAGCCAGCATTTTAATCAAAGTCCATACATGTCCACTAAAGCAATATATTCCATAATAATTTTGAGATCGATGATATGTTTTATACTCTGAATTGGAAATAAATTTTATACTAAATATGCACTCCATTTTTCAAATGAAACTTACCAACAGTGCTTCATTTTAAAGACAGCGTAAACTCAAATCCAGTATTTTGATGAAAAAAATCTGTACATCGTATTGCAAGTGAAAACAAAATGAAACAGAATGTTTCTACTGTTCCTATTTCTGCTCTTTCTTCCATTGGGACAAATATATAAATTCTCCTTTTTCACTTACAATCATTCAGAACAATTAGTCATAGCATTGTCTGATTTCTCTTAATGTTTATAGCTTTTCCATAGATGAATCAGCTTTACCTGAAGTATGTTGAAATTATTCCAATACAAGGCACTGATGTTTTACATGTATTTTCCATATGGAAATAACATGATATGTCTTAGTTATCTGACATGACCAGACCTACTTTTGAATTTGGTCAGTGTTTGTGACATCTGTGGACTTCATTTAGGGGCTGATACCTTGGAAAAGGAAGCCAAAACTTTCTCAGAAACCATGTTCTCATTCCATGAGGAAATCAGTATGCTTTAGGAAGGCAGAGAGGGGAAGCTCAGTAGGATCCGTAGTTAATACAAGATTAGTGAAGCAGAGTCTTAAGTAAATATGAATGAGCTGGTATGCATAGGTATCATGTTATCATAATGAAATAAGAGGAACTTGGTTCCAATTGTGAAGAGGACTCTCTAGTAGCATAAAGAACTAGCTTGCTGTGAAAGATTAAAAAAAATCTTGACTCTGCTTTTCTCTGTACACATATCTATGTATGTCTGAAATCTGATCCTAGAGTTTCATACCTTATACCTTCATACTTGTATAAGGTCCAGTCCAGCCCACCTTTCCAAGAAAGCCAGACTCCAGAAACTTTCAGCTACTTTTGCAGCATTGATATTTTTGCTTTCTTAGTAGATGTCTGAGTCTGTATGTTAATTTTCAGAACCATGTGGTTCACAAATAATATTTATCTGATAATATATCTTGTTATATTCATTCCAATGTGCTTGCAAACAATATCGATTGTCTAAAAATAAGGATGTAACAAAACAGTCTCATCTTTAGGTGAGTGGAATTCATGTCACTCTTGGCCTATGCAGTGCAATTGTGAGAATTTATGCTCGGGGCATCAGATGCTCTACTTCCCACTTTGCAACTGCTTCCTACAAAATGACCATTCTCCATAGCACATGGTTTGAGTGTTAAAGGTCAGCTTTTAAAGCAACAGATGCATTTTTCCAGGCATGAAGACCCATGGGACGCATAACCCTGGGTTCTGGGTGGCATTACTTTTTTGCCATTAAACTCTTAGATTCTTCATTGTACATGAAGGAAACTGGTTCAGTCCGTGTGTTCTTCGGGCAGTCTAAGAAGGCAAATAACTTTGTCCTAGGACAGTTTTAAATATTCAGCTTTATAAACAGTTTTCTTTTTTAATATTTTAATAGTAGTGTCACTGAAATGCATACACTTAGTGCCAACTATCGCAACTGTCTTGCTTTGCATCTTCAACATTATGATCCTCAGCCTGTCAAAAACTATAGGATTGCCAGTGAGAGTTATCTACCTGTACATATCTGAGCATCTGGTTTATGCACATCTGCTGATGACAGATCCCATCCTCTGTGGTTCCAAAACTATGGTACTAATGGACCTTTGTGATCTCAGTAAGGTGAAGAGAGATATAAACAAGCCTGAAATTCGTCCTAGTTAAGACAGTCAGGCATAGTCCCAATTTCTTACAGTATAGTTATGAGCTGAATGTATTCAGATGCAAAGCCCCTCCAGGTCCTTCTGCAGCAGGAACTCAGTTTCCTGAGTAAGACCACAAAGGAAGTGACCTTGCGTTTAACTGTACTCCAGTTGCCAACGTCTTGATCTCCCAAGAAGGTGGCTTTATGGTTTCTATGGTTTGTGGGATTATTTCGGGCATTTTGGAAAGTGGTGGATATTTTTCTTGAAAGTCATTAATGTGTTATTCCTTCTGGAGGGAAAACACATTGTTTGAGAAATACATTTATACAGTGAGCTCCTCATGAAAAAGGGCCATGCATTGCAAGTATGTACTCATTTCTAGTTTTTAGCAGAGGAATAGTTCATTAAGGCACATGTCACTGATCACATGATTGAAGCTACACGTTATTCTACATTTGGTAGAAAAGGAGGATTATTAAAATAATATTAAATGTTACATTTATTTATAAAAATTCAATCTTAATATTAAAATAAAATATATGCAGTTAGCACTTACTTGTCTTTAATTGCTAGCTGTATGAAATTACTTGGGAGTTAATCTATGGATTGTTCATTAACTGTTCAGAGCACACAGTGTTTTAAGGATTCACCTTTCAAACCCAGTGATGTCCATCTAATTTGTATGCCTATATTCTCTTTTTTAATCACATTTTTAATATGTGTAATCTTTGTAGTACTTGTATATCCCAGTGTTTCCTCATTCTTCCTTAATTTTCTGTTGTATAGCTTCTGTTTCCTACAATTTGGCATCTGTAACATTTTTATGTACTTTGTGCATCCTACTTCTGGGATGGATTTTATTCTTCAAGACAGAGAAAGCTATTTTGAACTACCTTTTCAAACCTGGTGTTTTTAACCAAGTGCACTGACGTAAAAGGGAAAGATTACTATTCACATCAGTGGACGACAGAGGAGGTTAGAAAGGAGGATGCATCTCATCAGCTGTACATATTTGTAGCATAGCTGTACATCTGAGCTTCATCCCCATCTCCTTTTATACTCTTTGGAGAGAAGGAGCAGATTCTATAGTGTGATTCATTTCATTTTTGTATGAATGTTGAAAATAGCTGAGGTGAAAAAGTGTATTTCTCCCCACTAAGTGTAGAGGGAACTGAGGGGGGGTGGGGGTCAGATCTAGAGCTGTACAATGGAGCAATCAAAAGTCAGGGGTGATGAACTCCATCCCGGGCTACCAAATCCACTGTTACTGGCCAAATATCTAATATTTGCTTGAGTCTAATTGACTTAATCAGGACCCTAGAGCATATATCAATGCATTGCAATTTATTTTGATAAGCAGAAGATTTTACTGATTGTTTTCTGAAGCTTTTTGCAGTTGTAACCATATTCCTGTAAAAAATCAATAGTTTTCCTGTAAAAAAAATCAATAACATTAAATAAGTTGCAGTACAGTGTCTGAAGTCAAAGCCACCATCAGGAGGCTAGTATAATTTTATGTATACTTTTAGGTGCACATTAAAAGAAAATTGTACACGTTCAAACAGCACAAAGGGTTGGTATAACATTTCACATGCACCTGATAAAGATCTGAAAGTCCTGCTAAGTTTCCCTGCCAAAAATCAGGTATGTACACCCAGTTTTATGCGTGTTTGTTTATTGTGACTTAAAATGTGTTATTTTGCTGCTTATTGCAGCTTCCCCTCTTTTGTCACCATGTTCCATATATTAGTCCCTCTTATCTCAACAATTGGCAAATGTTATTAGAAAACCCAGTAAGTTGAATGTGTCCATCAGATAGATGTTCTCTTTCTCTTCTATAAAATGTATCCTGAAGCTATGCTTCATGACGTTGAGTCAAAAATTCACTATGCTGACAAAGGCAACATTTCCGTTATATCACTTTATCAGCTATTTTAATATTTCTAGTGACTATATATCAAGTGCATTATGTAAGTTCTGAGCTTTGTAACAAGTTATAAAACATTCACTGAGACACATATGCTAACACAAATGCGTCTTTAAGTGTTATTAGTATTTACTCAGTATCTGTTCACAGCACGCACAGCCTTGAGTATTTGATTATCAAGTATTGTGACTGGCCACTTAATCTGCATGCTATTGTTTCTGGTTTCCTGATTGAATGCACTAATGTGATCATATTTGTAAAGCACTCTCAGCCAGAAACAAAGGATAATTCATTATAAGGCAAATTCTGTTTCATAATTAAGTGCACTTTGGTTATGGATGCAAACGTCATCTCTCCGTGAGGATTTGTTGTACATTCTTGCTCAAATGTTTTTAAGGGAATATAACAGCATATATAGCAAAATTCTTGGTTTGCAATCCAAAATTATTCCAGATTGCTCCCCTCACATACCTTACAGATCCATTTAATTTCTGGAAGTAAGCAATGCTGTTCCTTTCAGGACTCTTTGTATTGCTTCTTCAGCTGGGAGAGGCCCTCTCCTTTGAGAGGCTACCTGGTGAATTGTCTGCTTCCACCACAAAAATTTTCATTTTGTACATTTCGTAGTTTGTAGTTTTCTGTAAAGGCAAGGTGACGACTTAACAAGTATTACAAGAAATATATTGTATTTTTGGTTTTGTTGTTTTATAGGTTAAGGTGACTGCAAGCATAAGCAAAATCCTTACTTCCTGTATGATAAAAATTGTAAAACCTGTTGAAACATTTTATGAAAATGTAGTGCTGAAAAACTCATCCTGTTTCTGCAATCTAACCACTCCAGTGATAACGGATAATGGTATGTTTTACTATTACATGTATTTAATGCTTATTCACTGTCCTCTATTGCCAAGGCAAACTGAGCATAAATAGATGCCTAATGAGTGTGAGACTAGGCAATACTTTTTATTAAATGTCATTAAAAAAAAAATACCCTGTTTTTTCAAGTGATTTGAGTATACTCACACTATTCTTGATAATTAAAGATTTGTTAATATGGAATCCTTTGTAGAAGTAATAAAACATGTTAACCTGTGGCTAGAAGCAGGGTAAGAGGAGCATGTGACTATGAATGCCTGTACAATAAATAATCTTAACATTCAATTAACTGTTTCAACCTAACTTAGATACTTGTGAGAAAGTGATTGTCCCACGTAGAGGACTGGCAGAAAAATGCATGGTTCAGGGACAGTTTGGCTGGTACATCTTTTTGACTTGATTTCATTCATCTTTCTGAATTATTGGTTGAATCATTTTGCACTAATTCGTCAGTAGTTCTCAGAATTGGAGACCTGAGCCGTTTGTATTGAACACATGATGCATGAGATCTGCTTTGTGCATCTTATGGGCAACTACAAGTTTTGGAATGAGGTGGTAAATTGCTGGATGTCTAGACTTTTGAGCTGTTCTCTAGGCTTTGGTCTCAAAGATCAGATGATAATCCTTCACAGTAGAGTCTTATTTGACTAATAGGAGGAAGACATTCCCCTTGCATTGCTTCAAGGAATAGAAACACAAAGCTTTTTCAGTACAGGTTGTCCTTGTACCTTTTTTAAGTTGCTTATGTTAGAATAAAAAAGAGAGTTTTAATCTAAACTGAGCGACAAAGATAGCACCCTCAAGGATACCATGTGCTCTTAAGTGACTTGAAGAGGAAACAGAAAATTCAGATAAATGCCTGCCTTTATCTTTTCCTAGATAATATAGCCCAAAAGGCATGTAATACTCTGCATGAATCTGATTGTCTTATAATACCTTTGTGTAGAAAGAGGAATGAAATGTTAACCAGAACTTACAGTGACCTGTTGTTCTGAAGAACTCAGTTCTGCAGAGAGCTCTCTCTCTAGGGGACCCGTGCACCTGAAGGAGGTTCCTTGGGATATTGTGGATCTCAGGAACTCATCCTGTGGCCTTTGTATGGGAAAAGCTCCTCTGGCATCACAGAAGTGTTGCGTGTAGAGTTCCTGTCCAATGTTGATTTGGGAATTGAGAAGACTAGCAAGTGACAGCTAGGGTTATATCCATGAATATTCTGGTCTATTAAGCTGTCTTTAATAAACACTATTAGTGGATTTTTAAGAGGGACAGATGCATTAGAGAAGAAAAAAAATGTCCTTTATTGACCCAGTTCCAAAAGCCACATTTTCTTAAAATTATGGAGTACATTGTTTTGGTTCTCTGTCTTCTCTGACTAAGGCTTTCTCTTACTCCATTAGCAGGTTTTCAGAGCATAGTGTTAGAGAAGCTGGCTCATCTTACCTGTGCTTTATGCCAAAGATGAGCCCTTTGACAGTGTTAACAAGAAGGCTGTGAGCTTAGCTTGTGTCTGCCAGTATTACTACCTTTCACGTGCTCCTGTGAGGTGAGATTATTAGTGGATAATGCAAGTGTGGAAGTTACGTTGACTGTTGATGGTACCTCATGTAAAGTGACCTCAGCCTCACAAGAAGAAGCCATTGCAAAACTCCTTCAGGTATCGTTTCTGGAAAAAAACATTTTGAAAATACCTGCTGCTCAGTGCAGTCTGGTGCGTTTTGAAAGGTCAGCCCAGGCCACACAGAAAATAATAGGTTCCATTAATTTCAACACAGACAAAATCAGGAAACCAGATTTGACAGTGTTGTTTTTAAAGTATTTATACAAAATTAAAATAGAAGACATGCTCTGCTAGAAGCAGATAAATTCCTTACTTTTACTTACTACTCCTGGTAAAATACTGTTTTTCAGTAGCTCATGGCTTGAGACCCTTCTCATATAGGGTCACTCACCTAGGCAAGTGATTTAGGCAAGTGGTTTAGGCACTTTTGTGCCCAACATGTCAGATTTCTGCAGATACATAGATTTCTAGAGATGCAAATAGGTGCTTGGTGAAGGATTTCAGAATAGTCTATGTGTGCTTACCCACATCTTCAAGCATTAAAATACCTTTAAAAACCAGACTCTTTGCTGTCTGTTTAGTAAGGTTTTTAAGCATATGACCCGTCTCAAGGGCTGTTTCTAACAAGCAGTGCAGGTGACCTTTGCAGCGAGCACCCAAGTGCCATGCTGACGTATGGAGCAGGAGATACTTCTGATTTAACAATGTAGATGTAGCCAAAGCTGGTTTTCATCTGAACAAGCCAGCCTGTGATAAAGACAAAGCTTTCTCCACCTTTGTGAGGTAGGTATACTTTAAATCTGTGTAACTTTCCTGGATTAAAAAGCTATCTACTTCTTAGCATAGAGAAGCCAGAGAAGTCTGCGCACATGGGTTTCATTTGATCTCAGACAGTCATTCATTTCACAGACGTACACATCTGCAGGCACACAGATGAAAGAAACCATGGCTTAAGTGGTATATATCTAACTCTGCTTTTCGATGTGGTATTCTGCTCATGGGAGAAGATACTCTTTCATTCCACAGCTGCCAGTGAATTGTTGGTGTAGTAATTGCTAGCTGAAATAATGGCAAATTGACTCATGCAATCATAAAAGATTTAAATAGGATGAAAATTGCTACTGCATAGATTACAAAAGAAGACTCTGAAACCAAGTCTCTGAGACAGAAAGAGAGAAGTATGGTATGTTGGGGTCTCTTGCATTAGAACAGTCTGTTGTGTTAGAAGGCTTGAATTCGGGGTCTGGCTGTGCCACAGTATACCGCTGTGTGCCCTTCGGGAGATGATTTTATATCCCTCCTCCATGGTAGCATTTCCTTATCTGTATCCTGACAATAACATTACTTTTGTACGTCATGCAGTGGTGGCATCAAGCTTAATTAGTGAGTGTGTATAAAGTCTTGGAATAACTCAGCTGCAGGGTGCTATGGAAGGACAAAATCTAGGGGTTTTTATCAGTCAAAAGTGTGAGTTAATGTGTGTGTGAGAAGGTGCATACCATGTAGAGAACAGCTGAAGGCACATGAGTTTTCAACTCAATTTTTTATTCCAGCTATTTCTTGTAATATCCAGCATATGTCTAACAGTCACATTTTTCCAGATTGTCTAGTTCTCGAAGCATCGCTGTCCTCAAGCTCTTGGAATATCACACAAACATTTCAGTTGACAAAGTAAGAGCCTGGTTCCTGTTGAAGTTTATTGAGGGCTTTACATGTGTGTGTGGGGAGGGGGGGCTGAAGGATGATCATCCTTTTTTTTTTTTAATTCATTAAGGAAATAAATTTCACTAAAGACAGTCAAATCCCTTTTCTTGGCCCATTTCCTCCTTCTCTTTTTTTATTGTCCTTAGAAAGCTACTTCTTCTGATAACTCTTTTATTTAACGGGACCCTGGCAGCTAGCTGTGGGAGAGTCATTACAATGACTGAATTTATGACAAGTGCCTGAAGAGATAATAAAGGATGTCACAATGACATTAAAATCCTTTTCGTCCTTGTGAAAAAGGTGGGCCCCTGGTACTCAGGATAAGACCTAAATCAGATGAGTCAAGAGATTCTGTAAAAGTCATTTTATGGCACTAGTTTTTAATTGAGCTGAATACAATTTAAATGTGGTCCATGGGTAACATGAATACAATTAAACCAGAAAGTCACATCTAATCTGCTAATAAGAATAGTGAATACCTATTGTTCTGTACATATTATTTTTCCGAGCCACGTTCTTTGTTGAGAGCTTGCAGTAGAAAGCATTTGTGCCCAGCACATAGCCTAACCCTTTACAATATGTGGTTGTTAAAATTTAGAAAGATCTGGCTGACATATGCCATAGGTAACTACAGTGTTCCCGTTCAGAATGCTCCTCCCCTATACAAAGAGGCTAATCGATAGGCACCTGGGATGAAAGTGAACTCCTGCCTTTTGGAAAGTGGCACATCACTTCCCTGTACCTGCAGAAACACAGGGAAGGAGCTGTCTTTCTCTAAATCAGAGCATTTCTCAGCATGCGTGGAGAGGGCCTGTGCTGCTCTTGGCTCTCCTCCATGCTGATAGATGCATTGCAAAGCAAGACAAGAACACACTAGTCTCCCAACAGGCATATCTTTTGGTAGGGGAAGGCAATAGCAAACTAGCAATACTTGTTAGCAATACATACACAGAACAGAAGTTCAGGCAAGCTGTGAAAGATTCAGTGATGGTTTTCAGCCCTTTTCTGAAAAGTTGAAAAGTACTGTCTATCTGGCCACTTAGGTACTAGAGAAAACCACAGCAAAATGAAACCCAAAGTGTTCTGTCTGCTTTATGCTTTTTGGAAATTTATGACTCTCAGCATCTCAGCACAGATTGTATTTCATACTGAATTTGTCCTCAGAATAAGCACTACAGAACAATAGGCTTGGAGGGTAAACACAGGTTATGTGTTTTACACATTTCATTACATGTTTCCCAGGCTATTCTCTTGGGTTTGTGCTTTTTTTCTGTCACTTGAAATTTCACATTCATGGCTGAATCTAGATTGAGTCCCTGTGTCTTACAAAAACTCTGTTTTCTGTGTTACCAGCTGCTCACGGTGTATACACAAGGGTGAGTGTACCAGCTGTAAATGGACACCTGTCTCTCCTGCCACCACCTGCCAGGTGAAGTTTGTTGGGGAGGGCTAGAATCCCCCGTGATGCCTTCTCCTTGTATTTTTTTACATCTGAACAGCAATCTGTCTCTTCCTTGTCCTGACATGGAGAAATACTGATGTTTTTCAGGATAGTTGTAATGCACCTGCTTCCAAGGAGATCGCCACAGCACAGGAAACAGAGGTTAGTTAGCATTTTAAGATCGGCATTATTGGGGTTCTGTGGGTTGGGGGAGAAATATATGTAAAATGAGAGGACTTTGCAGGAAGAATAGAGATATGGATGGGGAGGCAGCCAGCCGGTTCTGGCAATGCAGAACTTGGATTGATACTCTTTTTTTCTTAATGCTTTGTTGGTGCTTAAAGGTACCAACACAGGTTTGCATTTCATATCCAGGCATTGAGATAGTGAACACTGCAATAGTTGTGTGCCTACCTCTACATGCAGATTTTGCAATATTGCTTTCAATGCCCAAGCCCCTGTATGCTGTCTTTAGGCACTCCATGGGAGCCAGCGTGCTGAGGGCTGGGGACCACCAAAAAAAAAAATCAAAGGAGAACATCTCAGACTTAATCTCTTACCTAGATTTAAATGTATGTTTGAGTTCCGCTGTCACAGACAACTCTGTGAAATTAGGTTTCAGAGTCTCAAACCTCTTCCTCGTTTTATGCACCCAGATCACAGCTTCTCCTGAAACATAGCTGCTAGGGGAGCAGAAGGAGGGGGAGGATGTGCCTCCCAGTTTCTGCATAACAGACAAGTGGCTAGAGGATGCATCCAGGAACTGAAATCCCTGGGTGTTAGTAAATCCTTGGTTCACACTTCCAGAAAAATTTTCCTTGCTTCCAGGCTATAGGCAAAACTGGAGATGGAGCTACTCTCCATCCATCCTGCTCAAGCTGGATCACTGGAAAGGAAGGAGTGTTGCTGGTGCCAGAGTACCGTCTGAATCTGGTTGTTGAGTTCTCTATTGAAATCATGTAGACTTTATGTGAGTGTACAGTCTATACGATTTGCCTCATAGGCCAGCCCTTTAACCACAAGGTCATTCTTTATGGTGCCAAAATGGTTTTATTTTTTCATAAAACTGAGCGATCTTGTCATCAGTGGTTGCTTATGATATGCAGGTGTTAGGAAAGATATGAGTAGTGAAGAGAAATTTGACTGATGAGTAAGTACATAAAGATTTGCTGCCTACACTTTTTGGTTTCTGCTTTTCTGTGAGTTATAGCACGGTTGGTATAAATAGTGACTGTATTCTTATCTCTAAATGTTTCGTTAGAACTACCCAAACTTTTACCTGTGATGACAGGAATTACCTCTTAAATTCAGCTGTTCAGCTGAGGTTTCTTAAACAAAATCACAAAATCCATTTTGTTTTTCACAGAGACGAGTGGGATTGTAATACTTGTGCTTCTGAGCATTAATATTCTGGATTTGGTCTGCATATAAAGCATTATGGCTGGTGAAAGAACAGAGGAAATTCTTCTTTGCTCTGCTTCCAAGTGCATTAATTTGACATCGGTAAATAGTCAGAATTGCCTGGGAGATGGCTTTCTTCCATACGCCTTATCTTGGAAAGACAGTGATGGACAAGGCAGTGAAAGCACTAGAGGCAGTCCAAAGGCAGATGTTTATTTAGAAGTGATTGATCCATTCAGAGGGCTTGAAATTGCATTTGAAATCCTGCTCTCTGACTGCTCGTGCTTTAAGGAGAACTTATTGGAGAGCTGAGAAAGAGGATTTGTGTTTTCCCACAACCCCAGCCAAGCATTTAGATTAATACATTTTTTTTTTGGTGGCAGCCCCAGCCGTCCTCCTGAGTCCAGCTGCTGGTTTCCATGCATGCACCTTCCCCCTCCCTGCGCCTGACCAGCAGTCGGAATGTTCTTGCGAGTACGATTGGCTGGCGAACTGATTTGGCTGGAAATAACTGTATTCTTTCGGCAGGTTGTTTTTCATCTGGGCCAGTTCCCCAATCCAGTTCTTCGCCTGCCCTCGGGGCCCCATGCTAGCAGTGCAGGAAGGGCTGTGCTGGAGCGGGGACGAGCTCCCAGGGGTGGCAGAGGCTGAGGCTGTGCTCCCCTGGGTGATGGAGGCTGAGGCTGAGCTCCCTGGGGTGGCAGAGGCTGCTTAACCTGGGCCGCTGCCAGATATCTCTGGCTGTGACCTGCAGCCCTGCTAACCACACCTCTGAGGATGTGGCTGGCAACGGTTTCACAGCCCCCCGG